CAGATTTTCATCAAAGATAACTCCTAGAAATTTTATTTCTTTCCCTTTTTCAATTTCATTGCCATTGAGCAGCAGTGGTTTTGTACAACTTACACTTTTATGCTTGCTTGGATGGAATAATATAAATTTAGTCTTGTTAGCATTAAGTGATAATTTATTAACTAACATCCAGCTATGGATGTTAGCTAGTTCATGGTTTGCAACTGTGAATAGATCCTCAAGGTTTTCCCATGAAGAATCAAGTCAGTATAATCAGCAAACATAATTGTCTCAGAGGATTTCAGACACCTGGACATGTCACTAATGTAAGTTAGAAAAAACAATGGGCCAAGTAAAGATCCTTGAGGAACTCCGTGCTTCATGACACAAATATTTGTAGAGAATGAATTTTCATATTGCACAACTTGTTTCCTGTCTTGCAGGTAGCTCCTGCTCCAAATGAGTGGGACGCCTCTAATTCCATAGTGATATGGCTTTCTTAGAAGGATGGAATGGTCAATGGTCAATGGTGTCAAAAGCTTTTGAAATATCAAGAAATATTCCAATCGCATTTTGTTTGCCTTCAAACGCTTTGGTTAGTTTATGTACCAAAACATTAGCAGTCATAGCAGTGGAGTGTTTTTTTCGGAAACCAAATTGATGCGGGTGGAAAACATTGTTGGTTTCAAAGTAGTTTGGTATTCTACTATACATTATTTTTTTAAGAATCTCAGAAAACGATGGTAGAAGACTAATATGTCTATATAATAATATATATCTGAATATAAAAATATATATATGAATATAATAATAGTTATAATAATATATATATAAATATAATAATAATAGTTCTCAAGGTCTGAGAGACTGAGACATAACCCTTTTTAAAGTGAGGAAGAACTTTAGATGTCTTGAAGCTTTTAATGAATATTTCAGTAGATAGTGAAAGATTCAATATATATGCCAGAATATCAGTAATGTATTTTGAAACATATTTCGATATTTTGAATGGATTACCATCAATTGCGAAACTTGACTTGGGCTTCATTTCACGTATGATATTTTTTTTAATGCGGTAGTTGGCCTTAAAAACATGGATGGCGATTCTTGCTTCCCAAGATATGAAATGTAGTTTTTGTCACAACTAGCTGGTTGTAGCAAATCGTCGAGCAGGCTTTGTGCCACTTGGAAAAAGTTTTCGTTAAATTTATTTGCAATTTGTGTATTACTGCGTTGAAGTTTAATCAAAGGACATGAATTGGTTTTATTTTTACCGATTAGTTCATTAATTGTTTTATATACTGCCTTAATGTTGCCTTTGTGAGAGGCAAATTTGGAAATATAATAATTCGATTTCTTTTTATGGAGAAGTCAAAAATAAATTTTACTGCATTCATTATAATGTGACATGTGCTTGTTGAGTTCGCACAATTCGCTTTTCTAGGAAAGAGCATTGTACAACTGGCAGATGATCAGAAAAACATTCTGTTAAAACAGCACTGTTAATTTTTTATCATATACGTTTGTCCAAATGTGGTCTATACAGGTATCAGAACTTGGAGTTATCCTGGTGGGACAGTTTATCAGAGAAAAATAGGTCAGGCTGAGCATAATATCAACGAGGAGGCTGGTATTAATATTGGACTCATCAATAAGATTATAGTTGAAATCACTCATTATATAATTATAATTCAACCTGTTCATCTTTGAGAGAACTTGGGACAAAAGATGTCGAAAATTAGCATTGTTCAATTCATCAGTTAGTGGTGATCTATAAATAGTACCGCAGGTGATTGTTTTATTTTGTAATGATATGTCAATAAATATGAATTCAAAAACCTTCTCACACATGATAGTGAGATCCTTGCGGACAATTTAGTGAGTTCACTAGTGCTTCAAATTTTGAGTAGTTTTTGAAGGAGGCTAAAGAACTGATATTGATTGAAAGAGTCATGAAGCCACTTAGTTTTAGAATATCATTGAATTTGAGGGCCTTTGACATCACTAGAGCAAATATACTGATTTGAGCTATTGTACATGAAAACACTGTCTATATCAGTGTTTCTCAAACTTTTTTGGTCCCAGGGCCGCATTTCAAACCTCAAAGTTATGAAGAGCCGCACACAAACAACGCAAGTTATAAAATAGCAACAAACCTTAACCCCCCATTTAAAATACCAAGTCATCGTAACAACAACACACGTAACAACTGGGGATGGGCAAAATATTCGAATGATAAAATATTCGAATGGCATTTTACCATTCGAATATCCGGTACCACGTGACCTGCGGCGCTCTGCTTGGACACCTAACTGGCGCGTCTCTAACTCAATCGTGAATTGTGCGAGATTTCCCAACGGCGCTCGCTATCAGAAAAAAACGTCAAATTTGAAAAGTCGTTGTCTTTGCGTTATGGTGTCATATGCCTATGTTTGAACGTATCGTTTCAATTCCATATTTTGCAAAAAAATGTACCGACGTTCCGTAAATTTAGAAACGTCAAACCAGATTAGGTATTCAAAATAAATTTCCCAGATTTTAAACTCCGCATGATTGGTGACATGTCATTAGTCATTTCTTGCATTACCGAACATAAAGTTAATTAAAATTAAATGTTAAAATGACTTTCCGGCGTTTTATTGTAAAAAAGGCGATTTTAGGTCGTTAGAAAACTCTAGATATATAAATAGCATGGCTTTAAAAATGACCACAAGTTTTTTCAAAAGCTGGTATGAGTTACCGTACCTGTATGAAGAACACCCATGAAGTTGTAACAAGATAAGAAATGTCATGCCCTCCCTTTAAAGCACTTTGTAATAGCTCTTTAGTGATCCCTTCCATCCTTGGCCAAGTACTGTTTCGAATATGTAAACATTTTACTCGACCATGAATGGCCATTGAGCCAAGAGTAGTCAACGTAAAATCAATCGTGAATTTCGTTGTAATAATGCACACTGACTCGTTCACGAATTGTTGCGTCTATTATCATCGAAAATAATTACAATTGTTAAATTTTGAAGCATTTGGGCAGTAATAATTAAGCCTTAAGGAATGACATAATCGAAATCATTAAGGAAGTCGCTTTTTTAAATCAACATTCAGGGTTCACGCAGTCGTAAACTTGCTAGGTTTATCTATCCAATACTAAAATAACACGAACACCATAGAAAAGCATGAGAAACTCAAGTATCATTTTAATAAATATCTGCATCTCGGTTATCGTTCACTTTAAACAGGCACGGTTAATTTACAAGCGGTGATGGGGAAGACCAAATCCAAGGCAGAGGATTAAACTTAATAAAAATAAAATTGATTTGGTTTTGAAATCATCCTTTAATGTATTCAATAGCTTTCGCTGATGTGAACGCAAGGGTATACTAGAAATATGAAAACTTCGATATCCGGCGACCGCTTATTCTTGCGAAAAACGAGAAAAGGCGGGAACATAGAATACCAACTTTAGGATATCGCCACCGAAACGATCGCGGTGACAAAGACAATCAGCGATTATGATGAAATTAACCATCAACCAGTAAAAAAAAACGCTTTATTGCCGAATTTTCAATGTTTCTATCAATTTCCAAATAGAGTATCGACCTCCAACGTTCAAAAAAATTATTCATTATTCGAATATTCGGTAAAAATATTCAAATTATTTGATTCGAAAAAAGGTTCGATTTTGCCCACCCTAGAATAACAGCCATTTAACTTGGCTTTGATTCCTTATAAGTTCGTCAATGCGGGTCGTAATCGTGAAGGATGCAAGGTGCAATAGCTGCTTGAGATGATCGCCAGATATTTCGGGACTATTTTCGATTACTGGACCAGAATTAAAATGCTCTAGAAATTAAAATAATCATTGAGTTATTTGATTTATACATAATATTCGGAAATGCGACAAAAACCCAAAATCCACGAAAGCAAGCCAATGATTACAGCCATGTCTAAAATCTTTCCAAGTTAAAAGTGTCCGAGCGGCGCGAAAACGATTACTGTTGCGTCACTATTGCATCTTGTAGATTAGTCAACGCTACACAAATAAACACGGGGGAATCCATTCGACTAATAACTAATAGACTTTCGCATTTTAATTTCAAGTCAATGATTAGTTTATATTGAAAAATTTTCTTAGAAAGTAATTAATTTTTAAAGCATTAACAAGAGCCGCAGGAAAGGTTGTTGAGAACCGCATGCGGGAGAGAGACATGCGGGATGCGCATGGGACCAAGGTGCAAACAGTGTGCCTATATGCTAGGTCCCATTGAGCGAGCAGCAGCCCTGGGGTAGGACAGGGGACGAGAGAGAGTAGTGATATCATTTAAACAAGATATTACTCGCCTTCTGTCCAGGTACGCGTATATAGTCCCATTCGTTGTCGACACCTTTTGCTTCCCGAAGGCTTCCTTGACTGCGGCGAGAAGCTTGAGCCTATTCCGGGTCAAGGATCTTTCTTCCTCCCATATATTAAATTTTGATTGATTGTTATTTACGGAGCCTCACAGCAATTTTATAAAGAAAAGCAAAAAAAAAAACATTAATGTTCCTGAGTGAATTTAAATTACCTCATTTAATGTCTCGGATGTATTTGCTGTACTGTATTTAAAAATATTCAAATTGCCGTTGTCCAATATTATAAATGCCGTTATTACTAGAACAGTTACAAAATCAGTCGTATTTAAACAAAAGAGCTATGCTCAAATATATGGACACATTTGAAGTAAATGAAAGTAATAGCTTTCTAAAGAAAATTTTTATCTTTTGCCCGCGGAGCTAGTAGATTTTCTCTCACGAAGCCCTGGAGCTCCGTAAATTTCCACCACTGAATTTATGGCATATCAATAAAAATAAAAAATGGGTTTTAGCAATTTTTCTTTAATTTTGCGAAACACGCCTCGTGTTTTTAATATGCAATATTTTTCAGTATTTTTCATATCGCAATTGAATATAAAACAATATTCCTATTGAAGTTATTGTTAATTGGTTTTTATATTTTATTTATAATTTTCTAATTCCTTTTCCAGGTCAATGCCGACTTGACGGTGCATTTTGTGACTACAGTGATGAGGATAAGATGAATTTTCTCAAACGTGCAAACCAAGAATTGGGCGTAAAAAATATAGAAATGGAAAGTACTTGCTTTTCAGCAATGTGCAATCGAGCTAATGTCAAAAGTACGTATAACGCAATCTGGCATTATATACAAGTTAGCCTAGCTCAGGGGCTAAAATTGGTACGCGAGCTCAATTGTCCGGCACGCGAGCGAGGTCTCGGAAACGAAATCATTCTCTTTCAGATATAAAGTTTCGAGGCTCTGAATTATCTGATGAAACTCGGTGTTTCTTCATTCGATATTGTTTGTTAACAATCCGTTATTTATTTAAACTCTTTTTGTCCTTCCATGAAATATGGCTACAAGAAAATATATTCTGACGCGAAAATGAGTGAGATCCAGAGAAATTTTATCCAGAAGAGCGCATTCAATAGAGACTATATACTTACGTAATATAGTTCGTCTGTGCCGCCCTTTTTCCTCATTTCTGCTCGATTTATGAAGTTGCAGAGCTCGTGTTGGTTAGAGTTACTTGTTAACTTACTATTATAAATTGATTTCGATAGAAATATAAGCGATTAGGAATAGGAATACAAGAGATAGGTGCAAAAACTAACTATTGCGTGCTTGGGATGCCATTCTCGCAAATTTTTCGTGTTATAAAAGCTTTGCAACTGCATTTTACTCTCCATGTTTCATCTACATAGGAAATCTAGTAACAGGAGAAACCAGTGAAACCAGTAGTTAGTACATTTTTTAAGTGCAAGTTACGAAATATATACCCAACGTGAAATATCTATCTATCAGCGGTAATGCAGTACCGAATATGATACAGAATAAAAAAAAATAATCAAATTTATTTGTCGGACTGCTATTTTTCCGAATAGTGAATCTGTCTGTACATGTTTTAAAAGGTTTATTAGTGTGTATTTTTGCTTTGAAAGTAGCAAAACATTGTTTTTAATTTTGGTCGGTACGCGGAAATTTTTTTAGAAATTTTGTTAAATTTAGCCGACTTTGGCACGTGAGCCAAAAAACGTTGCTCACCCTTGGCCTAGTTAATTGAAGTATTATATATATAAGAATAGGATAGGATTCACATATTTATTTCGGAGAAGAGGAAAACCGATAATACGGCTCAATAATATGATGAACCCCGGCCTCTCGTCCGGTTACCAGTCCATGTCTGGTATGGGATTACTCAGCGAGTTATTTTCAGATGCATGGACTTGAATATTGATGTCTGAACAGTTATATACTTTCATGCCACCTATTTATACTCTAACTGCGTAAATGCAGTTACCAATTCGAAACATCGTGTCTATAATATGGAATATTTTTTTAAATCGCCGGATATAGATGGCGTTAGTTTGCAATATTTTCTGTTTCAAATTACCTTGTTTTGGTCTGCCGTAGTTTCAGAAAATTCAAAAATGAGAACATGCATTTTATCATATAATTTGCACATTTCGGGCAGTAAGTTGTGAAAAATCAACGTCACTCATAGATGGGGCTGGGCACTTCCAATCAATTCGAATAGTAAATTATTTCATCGGTTCTAAGCAAAATTTCGAATCGCCGCTATCTTTTTTTTCTTTCCGCCAACAGTCGAGGTAAATTACCCAATTTATTTTTATTGAAGCCATATTTTTTCAAAGCAATTCCGACATAGGGCTATTTCCTGTAGTGAGTTATTGATAAATAGGTGTTTTTCATTGTGTGTGGACTCTCCGCGATCTGTTTTAGTGATGTATTCTATGTTTTTATTAATTATTTTGTTGACAGGACCAATTACAATAAAAAGTCGCATACAATTACGTATCTCCCATTGACACCCAAGTATTCGAGATTCGATAATCATCAGGCATTCGAAATTGCCCAGCACTCAGATTAAGAACAATTTACAAATATTTTATTTACTTTTTTCTTTATTGTATATCCTGCATTTATTCATGGGAATTGCGAAAAAATTTCAACAAATATATTAGTAAAATAACATTCGTAATATCTTTCCCTAGGTGCTGTGATTTGTTCAGCTCTTTTAAATCGACTCCAGCAAGACGTTGTTGACGCTACAGTGCAGGATATGGACAAATGGCAACAGCAGTCATTCGAAGTTGTGGCTGCATTCATATCAAACACCGTGAATGATAATGTAGTTTCTTAATTTAAAATATTTGGTTAAAAATCTGTGATTTTAGAATATACGTCATAGACAATCAAGATTTACGTAAAAATATATCTGTTTAAAAATCTGGATGTTTAGAACGTTCATCATGACACTGAATTTTATTGTAATTCTTATTGAAATTTCGAACAGTATATTTTTTTAATTTCACTATTTTTTCAATCAAATTCTGTTTTATTTTCCCTTTTTTGATGGAATTTCACATAACTTTTTTTAATTACTCAAACGTACGCTTTAATACGCATTGACATTTTATTTGGTTTTGTCGTAGTAATTTTAGAGTTCATAAATGAAATTACATAGTTCTCATTTTTAGACCCACATCAACACCTTTTAATTTATTGTTTTTTATTTATCATTCAACTTTCGGTGTGCTATATGCGATCAGTTTGAATCTAAAACAATTTTCGGTACTCCCGTAGTGTGTGTACCAGGTGAGGAGGGTTAGGCCATAATTTTATTCCGATTTTTCTTATTTTAGTTCTATCATGAGTTCGAGGACTGTCTGTGTTAGCCGAGTGAATGTATTCCCTGCCCATAGGCTTCACAACTTGATGTAAAGTATATTTAGGCGAACAAAATTAGTTACCTCCGCATTGGTACACACACTTATGGAGCGTCCACTTTATAGACTTGAATATATTTTAAGATGACTTGGAGGAAAGGTACTAGTACCAGCTGTTTGGTTCAAGTGTTATCACATCAAGTATTACAATTATAGACGTTTGATGACATCTTATTTATAAACGCAAGTCATTGGCTGGTATATTCTTAGGGTTTTAATATTGTTCAAAGTGAACTACATTATAATAATTCAGTATCAGATTTCAATTATTTTTAATTATAATATGTAAATGAAATTGACGTTTTATTTCACGGGTATAACTCATGCAATTTCAAAAGATAGATCTGACTAATGGAGAAGGGTTTAACAGCTGTGCGTGTCTGATAGGATGACCTGTAGACTAGAAATGAACTTATTTTTCAAGTCTATTTAAATCTACTAATATATTAATCGAAGATGAACTGTGTTTGAAATCGATTCTATATTATTATAAAGAAGAGTATCTCTCACAAAAGATTGTTGTTCTTATTGAAAGACAAGCATAGATAGCTTTGCAGCAAGTCTTTTCGTAAAATTACCAGCTTACAACCAGCCACCAGTCTTATCATCTGTGTACCATAAAAACCTATAGATAAGTTCGCAAATACGTTCCCTTATAGACCATGTAGCTGTAAAATGTTCAGTGCCTGACACAGAATTTGAGTTCATTTCATTAAAATGCAGCTTCCAAACATGCAAGAAATCAAGAATAAATAATGACTGAATATCCTTTTTCCCGCTGACTAAAAACTTAATACTTCATGAGGTAGTGTGCTGTGAAAATATTTAAACATCTAAATCGGAAGATAATTTATCATTGCAGAAACGAAGAAAAAGAATTTTATAGATTTTAGAAAAGGGCAATTTCTCGAAAAATATTGACTTTCTGAAAAAAAACAATAGAATTTGTGAAATTTCTGTACAATATTTCACAAAATAAAGAGAAGTGACACACCATAATGTTCATTATAATATTAACAACAATCATCTTGGTAAAATTAAAAATTCATCAAAGTTATATGATGAAGCAGGGATGTGCAACCTGCGGCCCGTGGGCCAAATGAGGCTCTCAAGGCAAAATCGTGCGGCCCGCGGAGAAGCGCCAATTTTGAGTGATGTGCGGCCCGCGAAAAGAGTTTTTAATTTAGTAATTCTAATTCCTATATCTGAGTCCAATGTATTATCTATCTATGCCTATGACTTTAAAGTACCCTAACAGCTAGCTTGTGCAAAAATTTTGTGCTGCAACTCCTAGGAAACCGATGTTAAATAAAGGTGCGGCCCGCTGTTTCAACCAGTTTTTTTTCTATCTGGCTCTTCTTTATGAAAGGTTGCACACCCCCGTCGGCCCCGTGATAAGCAACAGAATCCAATTTATACGGTGAGAAAGACATACGACGTTAAAATACAATACAAGTTGATGTGAACATTGATTTTTTTTATATCCCAATGTCGAATGATCTAGGTTTATGCCATAAGGATTTGTAGACACTAAAAGTTTGTTATACACTAATTTGATTTTTGAAAATAAATATTACAATGCATAAAAAAAAAAAAATAGCAAAAGGACTGAAAATTATAAAGAATTATATTAGTAGCAGCTTACAGACATTTACTAAACGAATAATATCGTCAACACATAGGCAAAACATTCTAATATAATTAAATTTTCAAACTGAATTGAGATTCCAACGCAATTACCATATATTTACTTTTTCCCCTGAACATTCTGGCATTCAAATTGCCATACTTATAATTGGTTCCGCCCCAGTTAATTGCTTTTTTCTGCTTCTTTGCCTTTGTATCCATATCTAAAAAGTCGCGAATAAACATTAAGTAAAGCGTATAATGAAAAATCGAATCAAATTCATGTTTACTTTTGATTTAATTTTTAAAAAGATTTCGTACCAAATTCTTGATAAAATAGTAATTTGGTCCCTCTATTTCTTTTGGAAATATATTTCCGAATATAAATGCTGCTTAGTTAGTCTCATGATAAACTGCGCCCAATTCTTCACTTGGAGACACTGCTGAGTTCCTCATTCTAAACAGTATTGATTCCTGCGTTTCCGAACCATTCTGATTGCGGAAAGCGTTGTTTACAGCAAAATAGTAAAACGACAAAAAATTATAAAAAAATGGAATAAAAATAAATAGACTCACTTTTGCAAAATAATTTCAGCCATCTGTAGATCAAATTCTGTATCGATATCGATACTGTGCTCTTGCGACATTTCATAGTATGTTAAATTTCCAGCCTACAAAAATTATCAAATTTTACGTTATTTGCCTTCCCCAATCTATAAATTTGAAAAATATCCACCTGAGGGAAGGTTGACCGTCCTTGGAAAAGATGGAAAATAAGAAATAACAAAAACAGTTTTTAGCAGAGAAAATGGGATTGTGGGGGTGCACGTTGGTTTTGCTCTACGAGTTTTGTAGAGCTCAACTCGACCAAACGTCTTTGTCAAATGTCATGAAGCTGGCTTTTAATTTTGCAAAGATTACCACATTGTAGTACCTGTACCTGTATTATATATACATAGTTGAATACTGAAAATATACCTGGAAGCTACTTTCAAAAACAAGATGACGCCGTGCGGAATAAAATGAGCCATTTTCAAATAACTCTCCTTTCCATTCTTGACGACGGGGTCTCTTCGTTGGATCGATGTTTAACGGTACTGTTCGTTCTTCTGAATCTGTAATTAGTTATTAACTTATCTCCATTACACGTTTTCAGACCATTTGGAAAAATAAGGAAAACTTATTTTACATGCGTCTGTAACTTAAAAGCGCCAAAGCTTATGTTTATTAAGATCCTAAAAATTCATGATATGTTTTTGGGAAAAAAAAAGTCAATTATATTCGAATGCAGCGAAAGTTTGTTCAGCTAAAACAAAATTCAGATTTTCAATTCAATATAAACATGTTTACACTATTAAATACAAAGTGGTTTGTCGGAAGGTAATAACTAGCAAATTTAATCTTGACCCCGATTCACTTACTGGAATCGACTTCTTTCCAGCGAAAGTGCCGTTTTCGAACCACAGAAAACACAGATTCATATCCACGGTTTCTAACAAGATCGCCGAGATCGCGAAGATGAAATGGATGAAGGGCAGGCGATGTACATTGTATCATGCATACGAATTCTACTTCTATAAAAAAGACGGAGAGTTGACAAAAATAAGAAAATTAGTATTAAAAGAATTATAGTGGAGTCAAACGGAAAAATAGACTCGGTACAATTTATGACTTTTCAGCCGATTGTCAGGATTCGGACTTAGGGTTATTCTGTGCTGAATTTAGGTAATAATTTTACTTTTACTTGCTACACATTTTAGTAAAATGGTTCTTGTACCTTACGAGACCTCCTCTTGTACACTACAACTCAGACATTCTTGGGCGGTTGCATAGCCATAACAGGCTTACACGCAAAAGCTAATTTGATTTGAAACTATTTTTTAGAAACAGTTAAATATTTCATATGTTTTAATTTTTTTATTAAGAAATAGTTCTTCTATAAATCAAAGATATTCTGTAAGAATATAGAGATATTCTATACATAGATATCGTCACGCTAATAACCGAATTGCGTAAGTCATTTTTAGCAGTTTTGAGAAAAACGTAAAAAACTTCCTAATGATTTTGTTATGCATTTGAGAGTCAATAATTTGCCATGGTTCAATTTTTTGATCGTAGCCGGATTTAAGTTAATTTGTATGACGCAGTTAAGTGACGTCATAATGGCGCACTGTGACTTAGGCAGAAATGTGTCTATGACTTGGTGACATACGCAATTTTGCAACTTCACTATATGCACCAGTCCTGAAAACTAAACATTCCAAAAACGAATGTAATTCTCAGTATCTACAATGTCTAATACCCAAAATAGCTAATCAGTTTCAATTACATCATTTTTTATGTTTAAAAATATATATTTCATCAATATAACACGTTCTGCACACCCACCGAAATAGGACTAAGATTAAATATAAAGAATAAAACAGCAATGCACCCAATATAAAAGCCAACCAAGGTAAATTTGACTCGGACAGTGAATATCACAAGTGTACGTCTTCCTATACTGTAGTAAAAATTCAAATTAATACGCGCTAAGCTAAAATCCGAGATGCAAAAACTCGAAAAAACTTCGCCGAGGTTATTTTGCCTTTGTAACGTCACAATAGTACTGCGGTAACAAGGGTAATTCATTATGACGAAACAATTGCACAAATGTGCATGTCATACTAAATCTCCATTTTTATGGGTTTCGGAATTCCTAAAATAAAATCTGAGTTAACGGACAGGTGCGCAGCATTACATAAATACCTATTTTATAAAAAACTCAAAATCGCCAAAAATGACTTAGGCAAATCGGTTATTAGCGTGACGATATTCTATGAATATAAATCAAATTTATTATTATAATAAATTATTATACATTACCGGGATGATGGTTTAAAAACTCCCTCGATGTTTCAACAGATGAGGTTGTATCCTGGGATACCTCATCTGATCTCCAATGCACTTTTGCGCCGAATTGTTCCGACACTTTAGCGATATCTTCGTGATCAGTTGATACCCAGATGCTGTAAGAGATAAAATATGAAATAATAGGTTAATCGTTAACCAGAATAAATAATACACAAAATAGCGATAAATATAGTCTTACCTATCAAACACTTCGCTGTCGCCAATAGCTCGTAAAACCCAACCAATTAATGGTAAACCAGCACAAGGCCGAATATTTTTCAAGGGTAATCCTTTACTACCGCCCCGCGCTAACACTAAAGCAGCCATATGACATGTTTTTGGATCCCAAGGTAAAGATTTAGTAGTCATCGTGATATTAAATAATCCAATTTTCACAATTCAGTTTTAGAACTAGAATAAAATTAGCAATACTACTTTATAGTTAAACTAAATTCCTATAAGAGAAGGACGAATCAGTTATCCAGTTGGACCAATTCCGGGTAAGGCTCATATTATCTGATTTTGATTCAGCACCGATTTCTGAATGAGACAATCAGTTTTGTTTGGTTTTTCTAAATTCAATTGATCAGTCAGAATTATACTCATTCCCTGGAATGCTAAGTACTATACTCAAATGATAAAAAAAAGCTACCGGTACACTTCAGGATACATCAAAAAGACATGGAGCTCAGTTACAAATCATTGTCCGAGGAGTGGTAACTGCTTATTGTCGTAAATACCTCCTTGGTCGGAGTGTTTCGGCCACTCCACCCACCATCAGCACTCAGACACATTCTCTACTATGGTGGATACAATGCCTTGATGATAGATGCGTGTATATATATGACGTAATAAACTCGTTGGTGCGATGTTGTGGGTCGGTACTGATTTCCCGGGTAAACAAAGCGTATAGTTAGGAGTAGGTTAACTGGCGGTGGTTGTCAAACAAACATTGAGGCAAAGCTATGGGGTTATAGTCGGGCTGGATAACACTGCAGCCAATATATTATAAACCAGGGGTCGGCAACCTACGGGCCCGCGGAGTAACATAATCCGGCCCGCGACGCTTCAATGAATTATAGTAACAAAACAGCTGTTTTGACGATATTTTTCACGTTACACAATTCATTGTGAGACGCGTTTAGACTAAATTATATTATAATTTAACAAGTATAAAATTCACAATTACTCGTTTAATGAGCCTATAATTTACTTATAGTTAGACAAATGGCAACAAAACGCAGAAAAGTTGATGCCAAGTGCAAAGGGTTCAATGACGCCGAAAATGCAATGCAATGAGGAATTAAATATATATTCTATTCGAGAGATGTATCACTGCTTCATTTTTAGTATAAAAAGTATCATCTGTTCGATTCGGTCAACTTTCTAAAAATATGTGCGGCCCACCAATGACTTGCAACCCTTATTTTGGCCCGCGAGCGACAAAAGGTTGCCGACCCCTGTTATAAAGTTTTCTGTTGTGTAGTATGAAGTAGAAATTCTCAATAACAAACAAAAAGAATTCGGACTTCACCAGCACATAGTTGCTATATTATTACTCACTTGTTCGGCGCAATTCTACAGTATATTATAAATATATACTGTTTTTTTATATTGTCTTTCCTATGATATAAAGTTATAAACCATGTCATGCTCAATATATATATATATGTCAAATTTACGGAATTCGGGTCTACGACTCGGATGACACACAACAGCTGATACAGAAGGAATTGATTACCTCGTTTGGTCCTAATCCAAAGACCAGAGTCGAACCCGATTTGCAACCGAATCCAGATAACCAATGTATTCTTAGTGACGGTTGGGAAACGTGCGCTTAGGTAGAGCAAAGTCGCCTGACCCAGTAAAACACTATACAAGGATATCAGCTTGTCACAAGAATTACCACAGTATGTTTGTTTGTTGAGGCTATCGTCAGCTGTCTGGTGTTCGTCATCTTTTCCGGGTACCCCCTGCCCATAGACTTCAGTCCCTTACACAACTTGATGTAAAGTAGGCGAACAAAATTAGTTACCTCCATATAGGTACACATACTTCTGAAGCGCCGTTTACTGCTGCCGAGCTAAGGCATAATTTCGATAGCAGCTGAACAAACACGCAAACTCGCAAAAATACTTTCAGAGCAGGCATTAATACTCATTTTTGCGACGGTGTGGAACAGGAGGATTATTTTGGGGGTCACGAGATCATACATGGGTTCGAAAATTTCTAAACGTAACTATAAGTAGCATGACTTATGGCTGATTTGGACAAAATACAGCTAGATCCATTGCAATTTACAATGATCCCCTGTGATCGTCGATCGACAATTTTTAACGACAGTTGTTAACCTGAGATGCTTGTACGTTATTATTCGAGTAAAAGTATGAGTTTCAATCAGTGGCGGCGCGTGGTCATTTTGACAACCGGGGCAAGCTACTGCGGGACCAAGTCACCCCCATCTACGGGGACAGGATGAGCGCTGTAAGTTTTCCCATAATTTTATGAGTATAAAAACCATTCCATTGGTAACAACCAATCGGCAAAAGCGACAATTTTTAACGATAAGAAAGTGTCTTTAAAACCGGTCCAAGTCAAGGGATTAATAGATATAGACATAGTTTATTTTGAAACCTCTTTCAAAAGGAAAGGCAATATTTACCCAGATAAATACAATGACATATTAACAGAAACTTCGGGAAAGCAGACAAAACCTAAAATAAGGTTTAAAACGTTACTATGAAGAAAGGAAAGTTAATGCAAAGATGAGGACATGCGTCGCTCACTCATAGATATATATGCTGCTAGACTTCTACTGCTTGAACATATATGCAACACGCCGCGGTTTCTTGGAAGCAAAATGCTCAATAACGCGCTGATTAAAGTCATGCATCCCAGAAATAACGTCTCTGTGAATGGATAAAACAGCCAAGGAATTTAATCTATCTTGCTTCATTGTGTTTCTGAGATACGTTTTAATACGCTTCAGCGTGCTGAATGTTCGCTCTGCGTCGGCGGAAGAAATAGGCGTCGTCAAAATGATGTCCAGAAAACAGTTGGGAAACGCACGTGATGTCAGTTGTCTCGTCAGATTGAATCGAAAGGAACTGGCAATTCTCAATTTCCAGAGCCAAATGTTGTAAATAAATTTTATACATTGAGTCGAGCAAATCATTTTGGATATCCTTAGATGTCCCTTTCGAAACAGTTGTGGCATCAATATGATCTCTCAATACTGTATCTAGGGATGCGGTGTATTCCACCATATCCAAAAATACCCATCTATTAGAAGAGCCAGCCCGTTCATCGTGCCCACGGAGGGACAGCTCGTGACAACCAATGAACTTCAAAACATCTATCAATCGACCGAGAACATGGCGGTTTTTCTCGACATTTTGGTTGTGCCGACGAATAGAAACTGCGCGTCCTTCATCCAACTGTGCTGCAATATTAACATTTCCGAATGTTCGGTATTTTACTGCATTGTGCAGATGCTCCATAGAAGATTGATGATCCCTGGCACGCTCGGAAAGATGTTTAAGATCTCTAAAACCAAATTTACACCAACGTGAGTCACGGGCGGTAGCAAAAAGTAGGCAATAAAAACAAAAAAGTGCATTTTTGTCCTCGCTGTAACACAACCATTCGTGTTTTTTATACCAAGTTTCTGCGCAGAATGTACGCCGACGCTTTCCTCCGTCATGGGATTGTTCCAGTGAACAATTTTTTGGTTGATAAGGCCCAAGACGTTGTACCTCTAATTTTTGTTCCAGCGGCAGCTGCGAAAACGGAGTGCGAAGTAGTGCATCAACCTTATTCATTATGAGGTCTAAGGCTAAGAAATGCGAAGCCGGAAAGAAGTGAGGAGCTCAAAAGGAATGTGGAAAATCGAAAGCAAATGGACTAAAGGTCTCTAACTGATTCAAATAGCGAAACAAGCGACAAAAACGAAGGCGAGGAAACTATCAACTCTCCAAGCAACCAACGAACGAGAAGGAATGCGTGAATATGTCAACACGTTGTTGTAAGAAACGTCGGCATTGTGTCGTCATAATTTCGGGGCTAGCCCCGATGATTTAGTAAAAGAAACAGAAAACAAACGAGACAAACGCGGCGAGTGGAAGATAAAAGAGAGAATACGATATACAATGAGCAACCGGGGCAAAATCGGCGTCGCCCTGTCGACGTTCGGCGAAGGCTTTGCGAGCAAAAAATGAACCATGTCGGGAGAATATGGCTAGTGTAGACAGTCTGTGCAACCGATATTGAGGTATTTTTCGAATATTTCTTATTATACCGAAAAATCAACCGGGGCATTGCCCCGGTTGGCCCTATTGACGCGCCGCCACTGGTTTCAATCATTTCCAATTTGAAAATATTATTTCGGAACATATTACAATGAAAACTATTCGCTGTTATCGAGCCTCAATCCAAACGGCGCCCGCGGCATGACTGCCTCACCCTAGATAGGCACGAGTTCAATATAGTCAATCACGGCTTTCTCTACCATTAAGTCGGACCTCCTGAAGTATTCGCACCAAGATGGCGCACAACCTGAACATAGTATGTGTAGCCTCACCCTAGATAGGCACGAGTTCAATATCGTCAATCACGGCTTTCTCTACCATTAAGTCGGACCTCCTGAAGTATTCGCACCAATATGGTGCACAACCTGAACATAGTATGTGTGTACCGTTTAGGATTCAGGTTGTGCGACATCTTGGTGCGCATACTTCTGGAGCACCATTAAGTCTATACATCAGCAGAAATACACAACTAGGAACCTAACTAATAATACCATATTCGACATGGACTGGCAAGAGGTCATGGTACGCCATATGCTTAAGTCCGTAAGTCGCCTCATTGACTTTGCTCTTCGGGATAAATATAAATCATCCTTATTCTATACTTTTATCGAATGCATCGATGATAGATAACAAGTAAAACATCATAGACTTTTTTAATATATATTTATTATTGAATAATTAATTATACCGTACATGTCAAACTGAGTAGAGTAAATGAAACAATACAGGGTAAAAAAGCATGGAAAACAAGCTTCAAAATAAAGTTTAGATCGACACAATTAGGGAAATTCAAACCCACAGAGCTTTGAAAGCAAAAATCGAAAACAGACTGAAAATATACAAATGAAGCACACAAAGAATTAGAATAAAATATCGAGTACAAATTTAATTATCACAGTTGCCAAATACTGGTATTTGAATGATTCGTTCGCTTAGAACCACATTGGGCAATATCTAACTACCGGTACTTATCAAAGATTTGCATTTTAAGCTAACATACTTTACCCCTTTTTAAATACTATATCATGATTAATTCAGTGAAATGGAGGGGAAAAAAATAAAGCAATATCAAATTCATCTCAGACTTACAAGACCAAGGTCGACAATTGAACTAGTCAAATCTTACACACGCCAAGACATGCCATAACGGAAA